ACTGCTATTGTGATGGGTATTACCAGGTAAATTAGACCCACTGAGGTCAATTGCCTTTAATATCTAGCTACCTTCTTACGGCAGATAAAGAGCTAATACAGTGGATTGCTACACAGAGCTATATTGGTTGGGCCGGGAACTCACGATTTAAAGTAAACACTATCCCTCGTGCCAAACTCTACAATATCAAGCAATACTTGTGATAAGTCACCTGGCCAGGAAATGGAATACCTGTGGTCAGGTAAAATAAAATCTCGTCAAGCCCAGTGAACTTTTACGATAGGATGGCCGCCAGGTTGTAAATATGTGGGGTGGATACCTTGGGGTTCATCCTCAATACCTAAGTCTTGTCAACCGTGTAAGACTACAAAGGTCCTGGTGTCTAATAGCAGGTACACACGCACAAAGACACTGTATTTTATTTCATGAAAGAAATGGTTATAAATAGAAGTTACTTTCAATGATACCTTCTTGTGCTGGGTGTCAGTCAATTAAGCAATCGAGGTCACGATTTAATTCTAGAGAATAATAAAACTTGAACTATTATAAATCGCCTTTTGGAAATGGTTGTCATAAAATTCACTCCAAATAAAGAAATAATATATGTTTGCATTTTTGTAAGGTCTCAATGTCTAGAGAAGAAATGAATCTTGAACCAAGTTGTCTTCTTAAAATGGTCAGCATCAAATCTATATAATTACTGAATTTACTTCAAAATACATCTCCTCTTCATTTAAAAGAATTTGTTTCCTTAACTCATCCACCCCTGACATTTTATAATGAACTATTCTAATCTTTGACTTGGAAGGGTTCAAATGTGTCTTCAGGGGTGAATGAGTTCAAGTGTATGCCTCAAAACGACACAGGTTATTTTTTAAGAAAATCTTTTACATAAAACAAGAGGCCCTAAGGAATTGCATCGAGTACCTATTATTTATAGGAATTCTGGCAAGAACACTATTTTGCCTCACTAAGAATCTAATACTGCCTTTAAATAATTCCTACTTAAATTTAAGATACAGTAAAACTTTCATATATATCATAATGCCACAATTTGGCCTGAGCATTTTTTGCATTATCTAGGGGTTTGGCAATTGATTGAGGAACGTATAAAGGAATTCCTAAGAAAACAGAAAAAAAGGGACAACGGAATATGTTGGCAGTACTCAAGGTGGGGAATGAAACCAGTTGTGTTATATCCAGGTTGTACGATGTAAATGTGGTATATTTAAGTTTATCTATGAATGAGCCGAGCCTCTTACTTGACCGAATACATTTAATGCAAAGAAATAAAATCTTCACCTGCTTTAACATAAAAGACTTATGCATTCTATTAGCTCGTTATACGAAGCTTATTGCATAAATCAAATTCAAGTAACCAGGTAATGGACAAATCAATTCTAGAACTATTCTGACACGTGAAAGAGGAAACGACACGGGCGCCACAATCTGGGCTGTGCAAAAAATAGTTAAACAAGGAATTTATATGCACGTTAAAGCCCAGACAGACGTTTCCCCAGTCATAACCATTACCATAACTCATAAACAGTGCTGCTCAACTTGTTGTTCAAGAATTCTTATTGTTGCAAACATTTCATAGTTTTAAAGATACAGTGCATCATCCTATTCACTGTTAATGTTTTAAAAGTCTGCATAGTTCCATTGACACAAAATGATGGCATGGTCAATGTTTTATGTATATATATATATATATATATTAATTTATAAAAGGAGAATATCATTATAATGGGTGGTGCTGTATTGGTACTCTTGACTCCGAGATATCAACAATACATATTTGCCTACTCTCCCTATTTTGGAGGGAAACTCCGATTTTGGAGCCTCGATCAATTTGACCATTCTTGACCAGTGAATTTGCTAAACTATTCCTATTGTCTAAGATATAATGATTTCATCTGAAAGAACAGTTCAAAAGTTGTTGTTTAAAAGTATTGTTTTCTCCCTAACCCTAGGGGGAAAACAATACTTTTAAACAACGGGTGTACATACATACATTTTATCTATGCTTTTAATTCTGAACACACATAATCTCCCCTATGAAAAATTTCAAAAGTTGGCAAGTAAGACAATGTATTTGAGATACAATAAAACTCCTATTATCAATTTTTATGTCTCATATAACGATTTCATCACGATTTCGGATACAACAAGAACTGACCATATCTGATCCTGTTGTCTATTCTAGGGTAGATGTGTCTGTGTACCTGTATATGGAATACCTGTGTGGAAATCTGCAAATGTCATGTTTGTGTGTTCAAGGTATATCTTAGGTGACCTTGAACACATCAGGATCAATGAAACGAGTTTTAATAAACATACATAATCTCTTTCACACCAGGTAATATATATTTTGGCTGTCCTTTATAGGTAATACAGATCTTAAGGCAAGATTTAACCCTAACAATGATAACCAACCTTAAAACATTAACAGAAAGCCTTGTAAATTCATATAATAACTGATAAAGAGATTGACAGAAACTTATAAATATTTACCCATATTGGCTTGACAGAATTTTTATTGCTGTACATAAGTACCTGTAATTTGAACAGGTCAACATCATTATGTATTATATATCATAACACGGCGTCACATACTCCTCACGGTAAATATACCCTCGTATCCTTGTAGCGTCTTCGGGGCTTTCTTACAAACACTGGTCGCGATACGATCATAAACACGACATTGGCCCTGCACCAAGGAACACCATTCAATTACAAAAATATATTCATGAATGAATAAATTCTAAAAAGGTAAAAAAAAATCTATATATGTATGCAGGTGTATCTGCTGTTCAAGTTGAGAGAGGTTTAGTCAAAAGTCAAACGTAATTGTTAAAATAACTAGGCCCTAGGTAATTCAGCCCGAGGCACATGCAGTGTAAACAAGGATTCGACTGTTAAACAAAGCTCAATTAGCAGATTTTAACAATTCAATATTTCCCTTCTAAAGTCTAAATATATTGTTTGTTTTAGTGTGGAGGAATGTTATCTGAACTTTTGAACAAAAACAGCTTTAGACACTCAGCAAAACCTTAAGCATTCTACTTAAAATACTGAATGGGTGTCTGAAAATGTTTGTTACCTAAATGTCTCTGCCAAAAAGGTGCAGGACCAATTCAGTAGGTTTATTTCGTGTATGCACAGTTAACTCCATATGCAACATTTTTTTTAAAGAATTTTCATATTTTCAAAAACATGTATCGTAAAATGACGTCAACTTAAACACAACATTCATTGAAAACCCAAACTGGAATAAACTAAAACACTGACAGGTCAGCAAGGGCCAGGTACCATGTGCCTGACTTCACCCCTCATGGTTTCTTTTTAGTAACAGCAACCTTGACCTTGACATTTTTTTAAATAGATTTATAACATCTAAATATCACAGTATATGTACCACCATATCAAAATTTCAAAAAGATAAGTCTTTTCGATACAGAGATAATCTCTACAAATGAAAGTGTAGAGGGACAGACAGAGACAGACAGTATAATTACTATAGTCTAAGGGATCTCATATCTCTAGCATTAACAGTTCATTATAACAATAATTAGAATATCCAATGACTGATGATTCATGATTTATTCACCCCCAAAGTCACATTTGAACCTTACCAAATCTTAGACTGGGCAAGCCCAGCTTAAAACTGCAGGGGTTGAATGAGTTAAGCTAACAGTGCTTTGAATAGCAACAGTCAAAAGGCACTATCTCCTGTACAGACCCATCTTCCTACAGTTATTGAGATAATCTAACACAATTAGGGGGTCACAAGGTGAAGGTTTGTGTCAGTCGAGTAGAAACTACCTAATTTTGAGATGTGTGTAATCTGGTAAATTAGTAATATGACCTTTAGTGCCTAAGGCCCTGTATATATTGATAATAATAAAGGGTGACATGACCGTGAAACCTTAAACCATTTCATACAGCTTTTATGTATTTCTGCCATGTCACAACTACTAACACGAAAAAACTGGAGAACTTTGTGATGATTTAAGATAAAGCTGAACTTTAAAGTATGCCCGACATTACTTCTAGACATTTGGTTTTTTTCTTTCTTAATAACAGATTTACCGTATTAGCAGAACAATCTTGTGCAGATAAATGTTTGTCAGTAACATTGGGAAGTGAATTGCATAATAGTGCTCAGAGATTGATAACATTTTCCATTCTGTAAATAGGTTCAGAGTCGCCCTTAATTCACCTATCTCTGAAAAGGACAAAACAATGGAATTATTCACAATCCAAATTAAACCAGCCTCAACCTCGTCTCGGTAAAATTGATAACTGTATTGCATTTATATAACAGTGTTCAGAGATTAATTAAATTTTCCAAACCACATGAGCTGAGATTAAAAACCTTCCATGACAATTGAATATGAAAGTTATGGATAATCTGTATATTAAAGGATCAGCAGTGTGCTTATTTCACCTATCTCTAGCTCACAGAACAAAACAATGGAATCATTGATAAGGACAATACCCAGTATGCAGGTCTAGACTCAACACCATTGAATTAACTATGACAGGGGCTCATTAATTACTCATGCATATAATTACATTGCATAAATGTTTAATTTATGAACATACATATATACAAGGTCTATATATAGGGAATGATTAATGGGTGGGGCATTCATCAGGCTGAGATTTATGCAGTCAAGTTAGCTGTCAAGTTGTATAGCCGTATATTATGTGTGTTGAGCCTATTAACTCAAGCTTATGCAAGACACCTTTTGGAATTAAATTCAAAAAGCTTTTAAATCCCCAGATTAAAATCCCATTTCTACATATCTAAAATGTCTGTCTTTCATCGTATGTAAATTGAGACCTCTTAAGCTTTCAGAGATTTTGAAAAATATCATCATGAAAAAGCTGAAAATTTTGAAATTCACAGAAAAAAATATATTCATGCTTTAATTTGTGACCCCTGTCTTTTCCCCTACCCCCAACGTAAGTAAATCCAATACAAGATTGCATACCAGTGGTTTAGGGAATCTGATATCCTTCCTCCGCTGAAGTTCCAGGAAGATTTGGTATGAGGTATCCTTATACCTGTACCCAGGCTCCTTGTAACGTTGATTGTACGTCATGACGAAAAATAATATCCACGACAGAATCAGGAAAAACACAACAATATCGCAGTAGATCCCATAGTTCTAATATGTGGCAACAACATTTTGATTTAACGCTGTGTGCGTGTATTTACCTATAACGATGTTGTCAGCTATCAATATAATAGATCCCCGTGAAGTGTACATTTCCTCATTAGCACATGGTCACACTATGACTGTACATACAGGCTATGAATACTAGGCTAACAGTTAACTCTGCCAATTGAGGTCAAGTTGATTGTGTGTTGTGTCCCCAGTCCAGCAATATTGACTAACCAAGTCAATAACTGACCACAGATCCCGGGTTTATTGGGTAGTAAAAAACCCTCCTGATCTGGTTTATGCAAAACTGGAAGCCACATGCACTCCTTTCAGGGTTTATTGTCCAATAAGTCTTTATTGGGGCAAGGTGAGTTTGGACTTCCACCGAAAAATCTGAAGTAGTACCTTATCCCATGCAGCCAGTGCTGGCCACTATCAGAGATTAGCCGGAGCACTATAGTATGTTACGTTGACAACAGGACGGTGACCAACACAGTTCGCTGTCGAGGATAATACATTCCAACACAGCTTCATCTCTTTTGATTTTTTGTTGGCAAATATAATCATCCATTCATCACAATCTGCTGGAAAGTAATCTACCTTAGTTTAATGTACAGATTAATTCACTATCTAATTACAGTTTTGTGTTACACTGAGCTCACATCTTGTACACTGAAACTGCCCGTATATCTTGTCCAAAGTCCAGTATTGGTTCCCTTTGTGACAATTAGATACCTGACATTTCCCTAATTGTTCCAGTACAGCCACGCAGCCGAGTCCCCGAGCACATGTTGTTAGTACCTCCTTTAAGTCCTTGTAATTCAGCCAGGTAGGCTAAAGGCCGTCACTGCAGGTTGGTATGACAGCCCAGCGGATCCCCCATCCTGAACTACGGTAAGCTACAGTAAAAATCACTCTACCATATGATCAACTTTAATGCTCACTTAACAGAGTTGACACGATTCGGAAATGATTTTTCTTTTTACCTTGAAATAGTTTGTATAACAACAAGAAAATATTCACATTCTTGAACATAATACTTAAATGGTTACAATAGTTAATTGTCCAGGAGATATGTCAACCTACCAGTGGAAATGATGTAATTTATACTAGGCTGTATACATAATGGAAAGGCAGGCAACGAGAGATCAGATGTGATATGACTGGTGATTATAGTGGGGACAGATTCCTTATATATGTGAGAGCTGATTATTGTTACATGATGAGATTTTCTAATTTGAAAGTGCAATAGCTGAGGAGATATTTTCTATGTGAGAGCCGAGAAAATCTCTTATGTGAGAGTCAATAGGTAGTAGCATGGGAGACATTTTCTGATGTGAGAGTTGGTAACTAGCCAAGAAGTGATTATCTGATGCAACCAGGACTGAAAGCTGAGGAGAAAACACCGGAGAGTTGACAGCTTGATAGCTAAGTCAAGGAAAGATTCTCTGAGAAAGTTGATAGCTGATCATGAGGAGAGATCGATCTACCTGCTAGTTGAGAAAGTTGATAGCTGATCATGAGGAGAGATCGATCTACCTGTTAGTTGAGAAAGTTGATAGCTGAGGAGAGATTTATTTTATTTCACTCAGGAGTTATATACTAGATAAGAATTGATAGTTGTGGAAGATATAAATTACAATGATGGTTTTACAGTTGAGGAAATAAAAGACTTAAGAAATGATAAAACCTGGTGTTTATAGTCCTGGTAGTTTGCTTGGGACAAGTGTAAGGTTGAAATGTTTGTTGTAATACTTTATCTATTATACATGGGCTACTCTCACCTGTATATATGAAAATGTTTCGTACCGTTAACCCCCCCCCCCCACACTTCTCCAAGTGACAACCCACATATATACCCATCTGTAGACATCTTAATTTCCTACGCTAGTTCATGACATATTATGAATATCATACACAGACTAGATTACAACAATCAAGACACATACCTTGGCTGGCCTCGGCAGACACTTTACTGATTTAACACGTGTAACAGGTACACCTAACACTCCTGCACCTCTTCGTGATAGGAACAAATGTAATTACCACCCATCGTAGATACACCACATACTCATCTCAACGATTCTCAAATTCCATCCTGTATCTTTAGGTCACAAAACACATTTACCACACATCAAGGAACGGCGGGGACGTCTTAAAATCACACCACAACAAAACGTATTTACACGTACAGCCATCATTCCGTACACTTGAGGTGACTCTAGCTATCTGTTATTAAAGTTGTTCTGCTCCACTGAATCTATGTACCTTTAAATTTGATTTTATTAGATTCTGACGTTTGTTGGTCATCCCCTAGCCTCCCATACGAAGCATGTATACACCTATGTGTACACCTTTCATCCTTATACATATAGGTGTACTGTCTCTAATGGTCAGTCTTTAACTGACCGCTATAGTGACCACAGGTATACTGGTCAGGTAATCAGGTGAATGATCTGTAATTAAAAATCTGACCTGAACTTCCTCTCCCATTATGATGTCTATAGAGTTTACATTAGTAATGCCCTACTTGACCTTCCCCTATGACAATAAGCTTTACCATCTGTCTTTCTATTTTAATGAACTGTCAAATTCATTCCACTACAATGAATAGTCTTTCCATTTCAATGACCTAGATAAATTATTATTAAATAGAATTGTCTATCATTTCACTTCGTAATTAAGATATCAAAGCATAAATCTTAAATATGCACTTTTGAAAAAAATTGTCAATAACGACATGAATTGTCTGAAGGTGTTACATTCTATCCAGTGTCTATAAAAATAGGAAACAATTTAGACTTTATAACCCATTCACCCCTGAAATCACGTTTGAACCTTACCAAATCAAAGACGACAGGGCAAGTCCAGTTTAAAAATGTTGGGGTGAACGAGTTAGAATCCAAAGTTCAATGTTACTTTATTTTCCTGTGCCAATTACCAAAATTCAATTTCACTAACAGCATACATGCAAATATCGATAAGATATGCAAAGTTATTTCACTAAACTGAATGACTTCAAAAAGGAATTTTCCTTCATAATCTAAATCAGAGAACTCAAAATCTAGTCAAAAATCTCATGTTAGCCTTTTAATTCAACATTATCATAAAAGAAAAGAGCTGAAGACATATTTGCGATCTATTTCTTGACATTGGCACTGCTGTCCAGACAGTTTAATGGTCGTTTGAACTTATCACCCACTGGTAATCTCTAAGTGTACATTACAGGTACATAACTGTCAGAATGTACAGCACACTTTCTATACAGTATCCAGGGATATTCACGTTAATGTATTGAAGTCTTTATCATACTCTGTCAGTACACTATTAAATACATCAGAAAAGTAATCGTATTCTTGTCTCTGGTAGCCACTGCCATTGTTTGTCTGTAATTCACTAACTTAAAAGCTTCCTATCAGCAACATACAGCTTGCTTTCATTAGACTATTACAGTACCTTCCGTTTCAAAGTAATTTGTCTACACATCGACATGTACTAGTAACTCAACAGGTTCCATACCACCATATATACCGAAACAAAGCATGTTGTATATATATACTTACTCCAACACTCTGTATTTATCACATTACTGGTAGCACCCAATCTACACACAACTTTTCAATTTATACCTCAAAATCAAAGCGGTTCAATAAGCTCTCAATACAAATTCCAAAAGGTTCATTGAATTAACAAGCAATCATTTGCCTTTTTTTTCGCAATTGTAAAAGTTTTAAGTATTTAACAGTCCTAAATTTCACTGTTTTAGGCTTTTAACTCTCACAGGCCGTAATAGTATTGATAAGTTCATAATATGTCAAACAGTGTTAACTATACACTACATCAGAGCTAAGAACATTTCCTGTCAAATACATCAAAGCTTGGATAACGGTAATACACTAGAATATTTACGGTAATACATCAAAGCTAGGATATTTACGTTAATACATCAAAGTTAGGATATTTACGGTAATACATCAAAGCTTGGATAACGGTGATACACTAGAATATTTACGGTAATACATCAAAGCTAGGATATTTACAGTAATACATCAAAGCTAGGATATTTACGTTAATACATCAAAGTTAGGATATTTACGGTAATACATCAAAGCTAGGATATTTACGGTAATACATCATAGCTAGGATATTTACGGTAATACACTAGAGCATTTATCATAAAACATAAGAACTAAAACATGAATGGTAAATACATCAAACAAATCTAGAACATTTATGGTAATTACACCACAACTTGGGCGTTTGTAGTAATTCATCAAAGTTTGGACATTTACCTGAATACATCAAACTTAAAACACTATGTAATACTATACACCAGAACCAAGAACATTTACCGTACTAATACAACAGAACTTAGGCATTTATAGTAATTCTTCAAAGTTAGAACATTTATGTAATACACCAGAACATTTATGTAATACACCAGAACTAGGACATTTATGGTAATAAATAGAAGTTAGAACATTTAGTTAGAACATTTACCGTAATGCATCAGAACTAAGGACGTTTACCATAGTATGTATCAGGGCTAATTTATCTACTGGACACACCTGCTTGCCTGTTTGTCCCTAATGAAGTCACAACCATGAGCTTCTCATGAATAATTCATGGCAATCTACATGTTATCTACGTTGAAATAGGTTCTTTCACCTGTCTGCTCTTATCTAGAATGCTGATTAATGAACGACAAATGTATTCCACTATTTCAGGTAAAACACACTATTAGTGTATTCCAGTTTTCAGGTAAAACACAAATATATTGGTAAGAGATCTGCTGCACTTTCATTTTGAATAATTTTCAATGCAGGCAGAATCCTTGCTAAAATTAAGACAGAATTTGGACCTAAATCAAATTTCCATGCAATGTAATTGTTTGGATTTATTTGTGCAATCATCAATAAACCCATCTCTGTGTAAATGTTATTATAAATTGAATTCAAATTGATTTAAATTTTCAAAAGCGCAGTCAATCTTAGTGCAAAAGTCCCATGACCGTTTACAAAATATCCTCAAGGGAGATAACTCAAACTTGGTTATATTTTATAAAGTTCTGTATATATATAAAAAAAAAGTATAATCGATAAACATCTGCTGGACTTGGTTGGATTTTCAAATGCTAGCATATACTTTTCTAAAACCACTGTATGTAGATAGAATGTGCATTTTTTTAATTGTCAACATATACAATAGTGCCACGGGATACAGTACGTGTCCTTCCAGTTTTACTACTTTGCCCCAACAATATGACAGCCGACAGTCCCAGATGTGTCCAAAACACTTCTGATAAATATGCACAATCCAACCTTGGATTGATTTGGAGCCAGTCTGCTGCAATATTCATCAATATTTTAATCGCCAAGGGTATCTAGGGGACATCAATCATGTGCATACAGTTTATTTGTACCAAAAAAATGTAGGAAATCGTTAAAGCACTTTTTTCTTTAATGCGAACATTTCCCTTTTTTATGATTTTTTTTTAATGTTTTATAAGAATTGTTTAACATTACAAAATATCTTACTATAACACTTTTCACATTTCACACTTGTCCGTTCTTGCAACTTAATATTTGAACATTTCAATTTAAGTATCCCTGTCCAACTGCACACCCCTTAGGCCATAATAAATTAATTGCTAGATTCTCATCCAAATTCTTTTCAAAATTGGGGCGGGGGGGGGGGGGCAAATTTTTTTTTTTAATTTTAATTTTTCCTAAAATTTGAAATGGTTGCAAATGTGTTAAAATAGTGCAATAAAGTACCATGTTCAGTGTTCATTCATCTTTATTTTTTTGTTAAAAATGAGGAAAGAAAAGAATGGAATTGTTTCCGTATTTGTACTCATAAATCCAACTTTCTGATCGTGTAACCAGTCGATTATATCATTGTACATTCTCAGTTTGTCATTTACGACGTTCCCATGCTTTGCCGGTAGATGTGTTGCTTTAGAAAATCCCGACATTAAAATTGTAAATGCGTCGGATTTCGCACTGGCAGTTGCCGACTGCTCTTCTGTATCAGCATCAATATTAAATTCTAAATAAGCTCCGAGGTACGACACCACTTCCCCCACCGTACATGCGCCATCACACTGGGTCAGTTCCACTTTCGATTTACCGGCCGACACAACGGCCCTGTTACCACACTCGACGGGCGCAGATTCCTTCGGCTAATTCATGAAAGACTTGTTCAGTAGCAAAATACTTGTTTTAGTATCGGCTACTGAACACCCATACCAATCTTTAAGAACGGCATGTTGCCGTTTCAGCTTTAGAATTACAAAAACCATACTTGCAGACGGCGAGTTTTCTACAACCGGAAATTGATAATATAAAACTAATTTCTGAAGCGGAAAACGGAAAAAAATTCCAGATTTCGGATTTTCTTTTTTTTTTCGCAAATAAAAAAAATTGGGGCGGGGCCTCAAAGAGGGGGTGGGCGGGGATGAGAATCTAGCAAATAATTTATTATGGCCTTATTAGGATACCTGCATGTCCCACTTCACTGGGTTGTTTCCTATATATATACAGTAACTTCCCTATAACTTCCATTTGGATATAACTGTAGTACAGTTGGGCAAGGACACTTCTGTTGACCAGGTAGCTTGACCGTCGGTTAAATTTAAGCTATAACAATCTGAAGTCCAGGGTCAGAATCCTGGTCTAGCCCCACTGAGTTTGTTATACTAGCCCCACTGAGTTTGTTATACTAGCCCCACTGAGTTTGTTATACTATACTGTCGTAAATTGTTTATTTCATCTTTACGATTTCCCATAAAAGTCCCTCATGTCGTGGTTTTCTTTTCTGAATGATTTATTGAAGCTATAGTCATGACGGAAAAAACCCATTTTCCAATACTTGACTAACAAATAGTTTTAGGCAGTGGTACGGGGATCCTTAATTTCATTTTGAATGCAACCGTAGCACAGTTTGACCAAAACACTTCTGCGACCAGGTAAGGCTCAGTCAGTTTTGAGAGTGACAGTATATTTTACAATCTAAAGACCTGGGTTCACATTTTCTTTTCAGAAAGTAGTTATCAATGCTTATAAAAGCCATGTCAGAAAAACACAGTCTTTGAATGCATAGTTACAGTTTTTGGCAGTGACATGTACTGTACGTGGATCCTTAAATGACATCTTTTCCCATTACTTAGCACTTAGGGGCATTACATACATCAAAGATGGTACACAAAAAATCAAACATCCCTTTATCATGTTACTTCCACA